GGTTTAATTGTTCTGCATTTTTTGCAGGTAAAATCTTAACCTGCACAATGAACAATACAATGTAGGTATTTTGTTGTACAAATGTGTTGGATCCAAAGTGGAAAGAAATAGAAAGAACAAGTCAAACTAAAGTGCAGTGCTCGACTTTATAGCCAGTTTATAGGCAACATAATTGAGGCTAAAAAAAGGTAGAAAGGAAGTAATGAAACAGTAAAAATAGTGACTGTGCACTTGCAGTATTGCAGTTATACAATGTGGTCATGAGTTCACTTCCTCAGCCTGACTGATCGCTCGGCACATGTGTTGGATTCTTTGATTTCTTGCAGTTGTCACCGACTCTTGCTAAAACGGCCAGTTTGTTAAATGCGGTGACATTTCTCTGCAGCAGCCTTGAGTAAAAGTTGGCTCTGGGTCTCCGCTGCAGTCTGATGCGGTTGTGGTTTATGAGCCACGCGGCCAGCCCATTAAACCCGGCGCTCTTTTGTAAAGGTTGTTTGCCTCTTAAACGGTGTCATCTTTATTGATGTGTTTTTCTCTTAGCCCCCCTCCACTCATGTACAGAATTATGCGATATGGCCCTGGTTTAAATTCAGTTCTCCAACATGAGCTGTTTATTATGGCAGACAGGCCAGCCATAGAGCTATAGCTTCAGAGCAGAAAAAAAAGTGATTGTGGAGGGGAGGGGGTTGACTGTCCCAGCATGAAATGATACAGCAAATTAATGTCTTCCTTTCATAGATAGTCTCTCACACACACACACACACACACGCACACATTCAAACACGCCGAAATACACACAGCAGTGGTTCCACATGCCACATCCTGCTTATCCCTGACACTATAGCAGCTGTAAAAGTGGCCGCCTCTGTGATCGGACGCACAAATCACAGCAGGAGAGATGAGATGGTGCTGTTCCGCCGCTCGGAGAGCCGGGGAGGGCCACGCCAGAGGACACGCCGCCAGCCCCTCGCCACGGAAAAAATAGGTCACTTTTATTCGCTTCCCTCTATGCATCAATGTCATTTACTCGTCTCACTTTGCTGTATTCAGCCATTCAACTAGTCTTTACCTGTGAGAGCGACCACCTGCGTTTGTTCCTGTGTACTTATGATGCTAACCTGCTGCACGGACTCCTCTCTTATTTTGGTTTTTGCTTCCACATTATCTTTTATGCTCCTTTGGTGCGGACTCACCTTTGACATCAATTTCACGTGGTTCATCTTGGATGGCTTTTCCGAGCTACGGTGCCAATATAAATGTTATACACTGAGTAATAACTCTGGATAACTATTGATCCTGTGGGATTTCTACACTGTGTTAAGTACTCAATCTCATCGGCTTCAGTCTTTACATGACAGACTGCGTGTGCATGTCTCAGACTATTTTGCGGTGCTGCACAACCACGACCACACACACAAACACACACACACAAATAAGTGTGGAAGCGTGGATGGAGATGGGGAAGCAAACCTGATTAGCCCTGTAAGCTCTTGCCATGCTGTTGCAGTCTGTCCCCTCCCTCAGCGCTTCCCATCCCTTCACACCCCCCTCTGTTCCCCAGAACTGCTAATGACTGCTAATTGTAGCACAGCAGGGGAGAGATGCTAAAAGCCGGATATCACCAGCCATTTCTGGCAACGCCACTGCCCACTGGCTGGGAGTCTGGTGGCCCCTGATCTGTCAGCTTCATTTAGCGGGAAGTTGACTCAAGTTCTGTGTATTTGGAAAGGCAGCCTGAAAAACTGAGTTTACATCAGGATCACGGCTAAGGGGACAATTCACATGGAAACATTTATAACATAAATTGACTATAATTCTGGGCAATTGCTAAACTGCAGAGCATCATACAAACATTGGAATTGTTGTTTGGGACATTTAAATCATAAAAATTAGATTTATTACCTCTGTTGAGGAGGTTATGTTTTTATCTGCGTTCATTTATTTGTTAATTAGCAGGATTAGGTAAAAAGACTGAACAGATTTCCAGCAAACTTGGCATAAGGATGAGGTATGAGTCAAGGAAGAACACTTAGTAGTTTGTTTGTTTGCTTGTTTTTTGTAGCAGGATTACACAAAAACTACTTGACCAGAACTTGAAAAAGAACCCACTTAAATTTGGTGTGGATCTGAATTAGGGGGCAGATTCTTTTTTTTTTTCTTTTTAATGGGGCGTTTTTGCAAATTTCTCAAGAAATAATATTTAAATATATTATTCAAATATCCAATATAAGGGGGAAGAACTTTATCCAGTTTCTGTGTACAATGGAGCACAAGCAGCAGATTATTTCTCCATGCAGCAGTAATGCACCATCACCAGCATAATGGTCCACATATTCCAGTAAAACCCTCATGGCTGCAAACAGTTTCATCATTTACTGTCTGTGAAGCTGGATTTATCATTCAGTGACGTCACGTTACAGTCTGTCTACCATCTCCTAAAATTAAAGTGATGCTCCAACAGTTTCACACATGAAGGGAGCTCACAGCTGTGACAGTTGAATGATACATATCTGATGCTCTGAAGGGAGACTTTTTTTTATTGGAAAAGATAATTCATGATGATGTTGTCGTTTGAGACCTCTGACGTAACGTTGTCAAAGTTTGTGCTAACCCTATTGACTTCCATTCTGGAAACTGTAGGATTCAGCATTTGTTTAGATTCAGAGTTATGATAAACAGCATCTGCTGCTGGGATTTTGAAAAGGAGCGTTCCATGTGACTTTGTTCTGATCAGCACTAAATTGCTGAAATGTCCATTTAAGCACCTTTTACACAGGTACTGATAAACTGAATCTGTAAAACATTAACAAAACAATTGTATTGAGTGGATTATCTTTTCAGTGCGTCATGAAGTGATTTATAACTGTTACTCCTCTCACTAATAAGTTACAACACTGATAAATCTCCTCTGACAAATCACAGCTCCCGTCCTCATCACCATAAATTTTAGTCACATGTAACTGACAAACAACCAAATCTCATTTACATATTTGAGAATAAAGCATGGGGAATGTCTAATAAAAATAATAAATATCATCATGTAAAATCCAATCAAATAAATCTAAATCTTGAAGATGTTTGGGGAATCCTCACGCAGCAATCAATAAGCCTCTGTGGTTCTTTGAAGAGATGCAAATTTTGAAGCAATTTCATGTGACAAGCGAGTCACATTAAATGTAGTTTACAGCCACTTAAAGCAGGGATTCAACTGTTTCTTGTGTATTTCAACAGACCACTGATGCTGACAGCAAATACAATGCATCAGTGATTCATCTGCTTCAGACACTCCTCATTTAACAGCAAATATAGAAACTGTTTCAAAGTGGCTTATAACTCATGTCAAAGAAGTAGCTTTATTTTTATTCACATTTTTTCTTCTAACATGAGAGATGGTGAAATCTGCATCTCTTGAGGCTGGTTTAAAAAAGATGTTACAAAAATCTTTTCTAAAGAATTTAGACTCATTAAACTTGTGTTTGGACTCATGTTTAATAAGTGAAAGTTCTGTCGTTCTCTGTCAGTGCTGGAGCTGCAGCACACCCCTGAAGTCTGATCAAATCTGAAGCCTGATGTGATAAATCATTCACTATAGTTCTGTGTTTGTATTGATAAATTGATGGAGATGAAAGTAAACAGCTATTAAGTATTAAGTATTTCCTCCATCATTTTTGATCAAATGTTAAAAGTCAAAATCTGCAGCATATGTTTTAGAAGTCAGAGCCAAGCTCTTTTCAGCGACAACTGAGACTTACATTACTCATCAAAGAACAGATAAAAACACAAAACACAAAAACAAAATCCCACCAAACAATACCAAATCAGACCGATAGATATCACAGCCTTATCAACAGGCCCAACAACCTCACTGAGGGAAACATTTATACATACACAAACGAAATAAATGAATAAATATATGAATACGTTCTTATCTTTTTTTGGTTCCTTTCCCCATCTATGCCAATTATTTTTAAGTTCATTGTTTATTTCCTTTCAAAATAAAGTAACGTTTGATAAACATTCTAAATTGATAAATATTCAAAGAGTCCACATCCTCTGCTTGAAAATATTTTTTTTTTCTAACAAAAAGATGAGGCACTAATGTTACTGTCTGTTTTAGAAACACCTCCTAATAAGCATCCTTGGGTTTCTTGAAAGGTGCAATATAAATTCAAGTTGTTATTATTAATATTGATAATAGTGATCTGAGCATCCAGAGATTGTTTTAATGTCAACTCATCTGATGTTTGATAGAGAAGTTGGCCTCTGGGTAAAAAGTCCACTTTTAAGCTCTCTCCATCCTTTAGTCACAGCTCTGCCTCAGCTGCTGAAATTCTCCCTCTCACCTTCACCGCAGTTCTCGGCTGTTTCCGTGCGCTCTGCTCAGACACAGTTGAGCAGGGCAAAGGGAGGACATCGTTGTAACAGACAAGCAGGGATTCTCCACATCCTTGCTCTATTTTCTTGAAGTGCCAATTATAATGCCAGTGGATGAGAGACCATAAGCCCTGCATGCAGTGCTGTGATACATTCCTATTGTCTCCTCTGTGGCGTATTTCGGTTGCAATGGGATTTGGACGAGGAGAGAAAGTAACATTCCTAACCTGTTTCTTTGTCCTGTTTTAGTTCCTCCATATCGCTCCATCTCTCATTTCAGCAAGGAAATTTCTCCTCTTGTTTCAAATCCAATTTTTCCAAAACTCCCTGCGTCAGCAGCAGCCCCTGCATTGCCCAGTCGAAAGCAGTGTCCAATTAAACTCCCATATCCATGCTGGAGAGAATCATTTCTTACTCTCTCTCACTCCTTCCCCCACTCAATCCATCATTAATATTATTTCCTCCCCGTTCTCAATTACCTTTCTCCCTCTAAATTACCCTGCCTTGTTAGAAAAACGAACCTGCCTGAAAACAATATGAAATACTAATTAAAACCTAAATGTGGAACACAGATTTAGATCTCACATCAGCACCTTTTTTTCACCTTTTCACCTGTTTTTTCCAAGCGTCTGCTGCCACCCCCCCGCCTCCGATCCCTCTCCCTGCAGCAGATGGCTTTGGTCAGAGGTGGACAGGTAACAGACGACCCTGCACCTCCTCCCAGGGCACCTGAGCCCTGCCCTGCTCCTTCTGTCCCCTCTCCGTCCTGCTCCCTGCGCCACCAACCTCCTCCACCCTGCTCGCCCAGCTCGTTCAACACCTCCAGCTTCTATCTTTTCCTCCGTCAGCCCCAGCACGCCACCCTCCAACTGTTTCCCCCCTCCTCAGGGCTGTCCTCCCCCTCCCTTCCCCTCACTCTCCTCTCCTCTGGGTTGTGTCTGTTGGGCCAGCCCCTCCCTCCCTCCTCCCCCCAGTGGTGCAGGCCTTCTGGACGGAGCAGATGGTTAGAGAGGGCCAGGAGGAGACGTCCTCTAACCTGGGAGCCCAGCCAGACCTGGCCCACAGCGAATGCCTGATGCCTGCCTAATAGACCTGGACTGGGCTTGCAAGAAATTGTCTCACTCCATGTGTGTGTTTGTGTTTGTGTATGTGTGTGCATATGGTATTGTTGTGGGTTTTGGAATGTGTGTTATTTAAAACTCACAGTTTGTCAATATTTGGCCATGAAGTTTAGAATCTTAGAAAGGCCAAAAGTAACAACATGCACATATGCAAGCACTATACCAAAGTAATGCTCGGAGCTTTCACACCTCACTTGTCAGGTCTGTATCTGATTCTCAGTTTAGTCAGAACCAAAATAACTGGCGTGAAGGTGCCTCGGCCTGGACCAGAATTCTCTGTCCTTCTTTTAGTCTCATCCTCCAACCATATGTTTGAATGACGAGGACGTTCATTTTATATTTTTTATTATATATACAGTATATATATATACTTGTGGATCTGTGTGGATGTTAATTATTTTCAATCCTAGTCTAAACACTGACACATTTTTGTGTAAGTAACATATCGCCTAGAAGTTTTGATTTGAAAATATCAAAGGATGCCATTTGACCTTTCCCTGTGTTTACTTGTGTGTGTTTGATTATGATTGCATGTAATTAAAAATATGGAAACTGTTTCTATGGTAACATGCACATCCCTGGACTGAGGCTGAAGTTACACGGGCGGTCCACCTATTGCTGCCGTCATATCCGGGTGATGTTTTGATTTTTTTTAGAAGGTGAAAAAAACTGATGCGTCACATTTTGTTTTCAGGAGTTTTACTCTTTTTGGAGATGAAACTTATCTACATGTGTAGGTGGGTTTGATCCCTATAAGTGCACAAAATGATTGATGTGCTGGATTAAGAAATATATTGAGTTCAAAAACCTGTTTCCCAGAGTCAAGGAGTTTTTATGCTGTAGCTGGTGGAGAATAAATGTCTCTCAAATTTACCACAGACAGTTTTCCAGTCCTGATAATTCTTACATCTGCACATGTGGTCTCTTATACCCAGACCTTTGGTTTCAGGGCACCTTCACTGTAAAGTGACAGATATTCTGTCTCCATATACAACAGAAAAACCTTCACCACTCACTGTTTTCGAAGTGTATTTATGGCCATTCCCTAAAATTAATTTAAAATTCATTAATACCACAGGGACAAACTCAATGAGCTCAGCCTAGTTTCCCCTCATTTGCCCAGCGAGTCCAAACGGATTGTTGTTCTCCCCAGACGCTGCTCCTCTCCAATCTCTTCCTGTTATTAAATATTAAAATCTCCACTGCAATCACTCTGTTTAGTAAACACTCTGGGGACCTCACCAAGACTATTAAAGCAGAGATGATTGCAATGGTTTGTTTTTGTTTAGTTTTGTTCCTTGATATGGACGACATGTTAATTGCTAGAGGATGATTAACTGTTTGACTATCATGGAAACATTCCCATCACCTGACTGGATTTTTATGCCGTCTTCTGTGACTTTCTTCTCTCGTCTTATGTTATTTCCTCTCCTGTGTTTGCATGTAATGCAATATTACATACACCCACCAAATATGCATATTCTCTTAATGATTTCACACTCCCACACTCTTCCTTCTTTGATCTTTTATTCTTATGTCCTCACCTGCCATCTCGTGATATGGAAGAACATTGAAATTATCTTCTGTTTCCCTGTTTTGCATCATTTATCATTCCTGTCCATTCTGAGAGCTCCTCTTCTCATCCTATCTCCAGTGTCATGCTGTTTTCTAATAAGTGCCACAATAATTTCTGTGTGATATTGATGGCGGCACACACCACCATCCGAGAAACTCCAGCTGTGCAGAGGCGAGGACGGGCATCTCGTGGCCCCGGTGCCACCACGCGCTGTGCACGCAGACTGCTGCCCCCACCGCCGCCTGGGGAGCATGCATACGTGCCCTGGAGGTGATGCTAATGGGAGATTTTAACTACATTTCCCTCCTTCCTCCCTTCCTCGCCTCCCCTCCCACTGGTGCTGCGGATATGAGCCTAGAGCAAACAGAGGGCACTCTCATTAAGGGACTAGTGCTGGTATTAAATTCGCTGTTATTAGAGAGGCCTGCTTTCATTTCACTGGCACAGCAAACCACAGACACCCACAGGAGACTCAGGGTGAGGACTAGATTACACTCATACATTGAGAATGCGCGTGGTGTGTGCATGTTTGTGTGTTTGAGCCTAAGCTATAAAGGGTGTTGAGAAAATTGGGAGTTGCAGTCACTGAATCTGAGCCAGTTGCATCGAGAGACCCCGGTTTAAAATAATAGACTGTAATGTGACTGGGCAGAGAGCATCACGCTAATGGTAGAATTCCCTGCTGTGTTTTGGCCTTGCCTCATTGGCTCTTTGTCAGAGAGGGAGGTCATTTTTCACATTACTGCTCACCCCCCGCCTGACACGTCAAAGATGGACAAAATCAATATACATATGGCAACAAAGACTTTGGTTCCACAAAATCCAGGCCACTTATTTGATCAAAGACTGCTTCACGTGGCAGAACAGAATGTGCGCAACTTCTTCTCCAATGTGAACTGGCAGGTTCGCACCCAGGCTCCTGTATCTGGAGAAAGTGCCCTCTAGGACTTCCTCGCCGCCATTCCTCCTTCTGCCGATGCCACTCTTGTCAGTGGCCCCTCAGGGCACGGGCCGGCCGAGTGAAGGGAGTGAGCCAAAGTGACTGTGACAAGGGAACTCGCATCAAATTCCCTGACAGTTACCTCAACAACCTCCTCTAATACTGCCATGTCACACGCATAAGGAGATTACTGAATGGATTTAGTGAATGTGAAATGTGAGTGAACGCTCCATGATACATGATTTGTTTTTTTTTCTTCTCCTCCCCGGAGCCAAGGGAGCCTGACTATGTGATATGCTGCAATCAGGCGTAGACACTTGGCTGGCTCCACTTGGGAAGAACACAGAACAGGTGGCAAAGAGGCAAAAGCAATGCAGAGTGAGCGCATGCTGTGAACACGCCGCAGGTGTCCTGGTCGCCCGTGGCCAAAGGCTCAAAAAACAGTCCTTACATACCGTCAGAGGCACAAACAAACTTAATTATATTGGAGATTTACTGCAGGAGGACCTCATTTGACTCTCTGTATTTGTTGTGGTGTTTGCGATTGTAGCAGGCAGTCCGTTTTTCATGGTGGCAGGCCCTTCTGTTGGTGCTGTAAAGCACAGCAGTGTGTTCAGCTGTGACTGGGACTCATTAGAGGGGGAGAGTGTCCGTCATGGTGCCTGGCTGTCTGTGTACTGGTCATCCAGCAGGGGACTGGTGGAAAATAGGCAGTGGAGGAGGCGGGCAGGGCACAGTGAAGTCTCCCTGTGCGTCCAGCCTGCTCCATCCTTTTCTTTCTCTCCTCTCTCCTTGATTTGTCCCGCTGCTCTCTACCATCTTCTTTGCTTTCCTGTCTTCCATCTCTCACCGGGGGTTCATCTCTTGTGATTCGCTGAAGCCCATTATCAGTTTCCCGCCAACCTCCATCCCCAGCCAGCCTCTCAACAACAACACACAAGCACTCGATCAAAGCCCCAAGAGGGCCGGCAGCCTGATTGATGCTTATCAAAGAATCCATTGTTGTTGACCTGTGCTGTCAATCCCAGTCATCATCTGTGCCACCGTTATTGCAGGTCTCTCACTGTATGGTATTGGTGTGTTGTTAGCCAGATATTGTCTCTGCTCCATCCCAAACAATGTTCAATAATGAAAGATGGTGCCAGATGTGCCAGACGACCATGACAGGCCGAGCTGAGATTCCCTCATTTATACCTCAGTAATGCAGTTTCAAATCCTCCATGATGGAGCCCAAAGCCAACAGAAGCCTGACAGAATGGCCACTGGCACACAACCCACACTAGACCAGAAACAGAATGGACACCCTGTGTAACAGATTTTTGGAACTTCTACACAGAGTAACTATGAATAGGTTTTTGAAGTCAATAAATTCCTGGGCTGCCCCCAGAAAGTCAAAGATTTGAATCACCAGCTGGAGACTCCTGAGTCGACAGAGATTCTTGAAGTCGGGCATTTTTGTTTTTTTGGTTGTTGTTATTTTTTCAGTCAGTGTGCTGTTTACCTCTATGGACATTTCAGTTCCCAGAAGGAGCTGCAGAGTGAGCGCTCCTCACTTTCATGTTACTCTCTAGGGTAAAATCATTCCACTATGTGAAGTCGTCCTGTCTGTGCTGCAGCTGCAGACCTGGACCCAGGGTGAGTCTGAGTAAGACAGAGGCAGCAGCTCAGAGAAAAGGAGGCCGTGCTCTGTCAGGTTCCAGGATAACAGTATCTTCTGCTAAGAAGTGGAGAATTCACAGCTCACAGCAACTTAATGCAATATAGTCTCTGGCTATGGATGAATATCTAGTGTCGACAAATAATGTTGCACATTTCCTTTAATCATCTAGCATAGTTACTGTAGTGGTTCTCAGTAGAGCACAGACCTCCCCAAGACCCTTAAATTAAATCAAACCGCACCAAAGTGCACAGAATCATTAATATCTGTCCCCTAAATATGCCAAACTCTTTTCATTAAGATAAATAAATGATTCCCTTCCTCAATCTTTCCCTTATGCAATGTCAAAGTAAGTAGAAAAACAACCTTCAATCTTCGCGGAAATGTAATGAGCTCTTTCTTGGCCCATGTCCCATCCCTCCAACAAGTTTCGTGGAAATCCATTCTGTATTTTTTGTGTAATCCTGCTGACAAATACTTGATAGTCTTAATGGGAAAGAAAAATTACAAAGCATCAAATATTCATGTTGAACAACCAAATCTGATTAACAGACACAATTCTTCCATCTTCAATAATTTCACAAAGATATTGATCTTTTGAGGGCAGAAAAATGTGAAGTCTAAAAGGTGCAGTTCAAGTACACAGTGCAGTCAGAGCTTTGTCTCGGAGCGGATTCAAGCTTCATGCGCCTCAGCCAGAGTTAAGATTTCAATGTGGACGTGTCAACAAATGTATGAAAGTTAAAAAAATGACCCAATCTCGTGACAAAGTAACTTTATGACAATAATGGGTTGAAAACATTATTCACTCTGATAGAAATATAAGAAAAACTCTGCAAGGCTGTAAGCACAATTGAGAACACCAAGGCCATGGTAGAGATTCATACACAGTTTACTGTTTGGGGGGTTTGACATGAAGAGGCGTTTTCTTTCTAAAAAAACACATTTGTTAGACATGCTGGGTATTTGTTTTATACATTTTCTTATTATTTAAGATGAACTCTTTTAATCTGGAAGACAATTACAAATCAGGGATTTAATTGTGACTCTAGGCTTGTTTCAGAGATCAGCTTTACT